CGAGAACACACGGAAGGAAGAGAAATTGGCCCTTTTTAAACTGGCGTCTAAACAGGAAGCCTGGAATCACCCTATGGGAACTGGCCACTAATCCCATTTTACCTGGTGTCTGCCTCGGCCAAGAGGCTTTGAATCTAGTCAGCTGGGCAATACTGTGATATTTCTTCCCGGCTCCTGGCTCAGATCAGTTCTGAGGCATGAAGCTCAAGAGTGCCCAGAACATTTAACATCTAGATTTCTTAGCTTCTAAACTTTGTAGAGTAACAGGACTTAGGGAAGTGAAGCATGTCTCACCTGGTATCAAACGGCAGTCCACCTTTAATAGCTAAGGCAGTATTAGGGAATGGAGACTTTACATCCAATGTAATCTACTGACTTTTTTAATGCTTAGAAGGCTTAAACAGAAATCATTTTAATTAAAAAACTCCTAATCAAAAGTTAGTCACTGTCCATCTGCTTTCTTCTACCCACCCATTTCTAAGGTGCCTAGTGTCTGCCTGTATCTGCAAAATATTTAGGAGTAGAAAGACACAGAATGTAGACACCATATCAATCAACCAATTCACTTCTCTCTCTCACTAATGCTCTGAAATACGTTTTCTAACAATGAAGAATTAAAAGATCAACACTAGACAATACACTAGAAAGAACAATTCTGCACTGGCCTCGATGGGTAGGCTAATAAAGGCTCAATAGAGTAGAGATAAAGAAGTTCTAGGACTTTACTGCTGTGCTTGTTATCTTTTTGTAGGAGATACCGTAACAGCCTAGAAGTCACCTGTGGCGATTACCATGTGTGTAAACGAAATGATAATTTGTGCAGGCTACAGAAATAATCTCAAACTAGAGAGAAGATTACTGCAGGAGGGCATGTTCCGGTTACGGGGAAATCAAACATCTGAACTGATGGGGCTGCAGTTTCTGAGCGGTAACCAAGAGCCTCTGCATCCTTTGTCTTACCCAGTTAATTTTGCATCTTTATCTTGGAAGGTCTGTGAATTCCTTGCCATCAAGTCATTTGTTCTGCTGGTGTGTTCAACAAAGAGTGCATGTTCCTAGCTGTTTATTCTTCCTGTAGGGTGT